GGGGGGGGGGGGGGGGGGGGGGGGGGGGGGGGGGGGGGGGGGGGGGGGGGGGGGGGGGGGGGGGGGCATACTCATACTCGTGTTTTGCATGCCTTAGCGGTTCGACCACGGGTCGTCGAGAGGACGGAGCGTTGGACCGATGACCGATGTCCAATTGTCCCTTCCAACTTTGCGAAGGGTGGCTTAGAAACGTTTCCAATCTCATCTATCCTACCGATATCACTTGGAAGGGACAATTGGACATCGGTCATCGGTCCAACGCTCCGTCCGCCGTTTCGGTCGGGGCGGTGGTGTTGTGTGGGGAATACACAAAAACCGCGTCGCCCCTCCCTCAGTGATGAGGCGCGTGGTTCCTCCTGTTCTGCGTTATCCACAGCAATGGCAGGTTTAGCTATTCTTCATTCGGTCTTGTTCGGACCGACAGACATGCTGATTGTGCCATGATTCACGGGTTCGCTGTGCGTTCCCGGCGACCTGTATTTTGTCCTCGAAAAGTGCATGGGTGTGATGGTGCAGATCGAAAAGAATCTCGAAGCAGCTTCGCCAGACAAAGGCCACGCCCGACTCCTCACTGTAAAAAAGAAGAATCATGTAGGGAACGGTGATTCGTAAAAAACACGAATCAACTACACAGAACGTAGAGTGAGGGGTTTGCACGTATTCAGCTTTCTGTAGAGGGGAACCCACGGTCGCCCCGGTGGTCTAGTGGTATCCTCGCAATCCGCTAGTCGCAAAGGTAGTGAGTTCGAATCCCCATGAGGTGAAAACTTTACGAAATTTGCGGGTGAAAGCGAAACATAGCTATAAAACTGTCGTGAGTACCAACCTTCGACGTTAGCACCGTTGACGAGGGAATGGGACGGCTTGACCCTTTTCGCGATAATAGTAAAATTCAGCACGCACCGCAGGAGGAAGGTGGGGCATGAAAAGAAATAGAGTAAAAAGAAGAAAAAAGCCCTGCCTGGCGTTCACCCCCTCCTTTGTGACCCTGGATGGTTGTAGCTGTACGAAAAAAAACACTGAAAAGTGTAGTACACGTATCACCACGAAAAATGGGGGGACTGTCGCCATAATAAATAGGACGAAAACACACAACACACAGAGGGGGCGCAAACATCGACAGAGAATCGTCCTGTCAATGGGATTGTGGGCCGTAGATCGAAAACGAAAATCACACTGCTGTGCCCCCGCTCGAAGCTCTACCTGGCACATGTACATGTTTCTCGCCTTGGAAAATGCGCAGTAAACCAGCTTTGATCCGCGTATATGTAGTAAACGCACGTGGAGAAACGCGCTAAAAGCGTCAACGCATCCACGAGCCCGGCAGAGTGATGCAAGTTTGCGCTATGTACGTACATGCGGACTTTTGACAAGAGACCCTCTATCGATAGAGCCCGCACTGAAGAAGGTCTAGTTTTCGGCGAGGCTCGAGGGTTCTTGTAGTTCCTCTTGGGGGCTACAAATGGCCGCTATTTAGGTTTTGATGTGGGGATCCTTGTCCGGGCTCGCAAATGGTGCTCGAGTTGTCACGTTTGATACCGTAGATTGCATGATGTAAGATATCACACACCCCCGCTGGACCGATTCTGAAAGCTCGGTTACTCCACGACCAAGAAGATGCCGAAGGCAAACGATACGTGTTCGGAAGGCTCTGGAAAGGACGGTTCCAACCCCGCCATTTTCGATACCGTCACTGCCGTTTTCCCTGCCGAGTAATCAAGCTTTGACAGTCGGTTATGGGGGTGTGATATCTTACATCATGCAACCTGTCGGCATGTCGTTGAGCGTTACGTTGTTGACCCCGCCAAGTTTTCGCGGGCGGGCATTATCTGTAAAGAGGCGTTTGTGACTGCCTGCTGCTGCTGTGAAGGCATGCAACGCCCCCCCACGCAACACCGGTGCGGTAGGCTGTGGCAATTTCGAACGGTGCGGTGGTTGCTTTCGGCGAGCTGTAGCCGTACGCAAGTGGTGGCGCACGTTTCTGCGCGAGTTCACCGAAAAATCCGTGTGCTCGCCGCCGAACCCCTGGCCGTGCAGAAGGCTCAGCGATTTTCCGTCCGACTCTCGTTGGTCAGCACACGATACACACTACAGTACGCAGATCGCTGGATCGTACGAGTATTAACGATCTGCGGGTTGAGGAAGCACGCCGTGGCGGTGTATTCTGGCGCCAATGGGCTGCTGTCTACAGATTTGAACTTGTTTTTTCTCTTTCGGTTAGTTGCGGTTCGCGAGGCTGTTTGTTACAAAAAGACATGAGCTGGGTAGCTGTTGAGCTTGGGAGACGTTACAGCTATAGCTGTGGGCGGGCCCTGCCTGTTGTTATTGTCAGCTTGCTTGCATCACCCCTTGATGACACCACCGTGCTCTCCATGATACGCCCTCTCACGAAGGTCGCTTGTGCAGCTTTCGATATGCAGTGGACGTCCCAGACAGGTTCACACATTCAGGAAGGTTAACACAGGGACATGTTGTTTTGTTAGTTGTCCGATGTTCCCCCCATGCTGCTTGCCGTCGTATGTGGAACAAAAAAAAAAGACACGCACACACCTCACAAAAGCTTTATCTCGTAACACGGGGACAGGGGACATTATTTTTGATGTCCCATGTCCCCCCCCCCTGCTTGCCTTCGTGTGTGGAAACGAAAAAAAACACCCACACAAACCCACACACACTCACAGCTGCGTGTCCATTGCCGCCGCCTGCAACTGAAAACAGCTCCATGGAACGCGAGGTCGTCGCGACAGCAACTGCTGTATGTCTATCTCACCTGCCTTGTGTGTGTTGGAAGCCTGCGATTTGCTTCTGAAGCTGTTTCTTTTTTCTGTTGGTTTCCAAAGATTGTTTGGAGCTGCTGTTGAAGTGGAGGCGCCTGCGGGTGGGTGGCATACCCCGCTTGAGGCTGGATCGTGCCTCTTCGTGACGTATGTGTGTTTTTTTTCGTCCCATTGATCCTAATATATTTCAGGCCTAGACACAGCTCTCGCTGTGTGTAGCGTGTTGACGTTTCAGCGGGGGCCACCCAGGAGGAAGGTCATACTT